ATATATATATATATATATATATATATATATATATATATATATATATATATAGAGAGAGAGAGAGAGAAGAGGGTTCAATTGAGAAAAAAAAAGGTTGAGAATGAGGGAATCATTCTCAGGCCTCAGCCACACATTTGTTTTGTCGTAAAAACTAAGGCGTACCGTCAGAAATAGATAACGGATACACATGTGTTTTTCAACCAAACATGTTTCCTTAAACTATGTTAATCATTACCTTAATATACACACAAATATTTTTTATTGTTTTTTTATTTTTAGAAAGCTATTTTTATCAAAAAATTATTTTAAATATATCAAAATTCATAATTTTTTATTCTCTATAAATAGACATCCATATTGATATAGTTTTAAGATAAAATAAAAATTTTATTTTTTTTAGAGTTTCAACTCTCGTTTTTCATAAGTGAATAAAAATCGATCAGATTTTTAATACAGTACATTTGTTATTCATTTATGAATAAAACGTATGTTTAACTTTTTTTACAGTTTAAGTATCATTCATATATAAATATATCACGTAATAAAACTTTGTTACCTAAAATATATTTTTTTACATCATCTTTCGTCACATGTTATATTTATATATGAATAAAATGTGTATTAGTGGTCGTCATATTTTATGTTCATATATAATTAAAAAAATTATCAGATTTTTGTTACGGTTCATTAGTTATTCGAATATGAATAAGTAGTATGTTAATAAAAGACGACGTGTTTTAAAATTTTGAACTACTTAGTAATATATAAATAACAAATAAACTGTAACAAAATTATGATAAATGTGTTTTTCATATATGAATATAACTTATGAAAAAACTAATACAGGTTTTATTCATATGTGAGTATAACATGTTACGAGAGCTGATGTAAAATGTAAAGAGTTTATGTATGTTATATTTATATATGAATGGTATTTAAACTATAAAAAAAATTAATCATGTTTTTTATTCATAAGTGAATAACGAATGTACTGTAGTAAAAATCTGATGCATTTTTATTCACTTGTTAATAACAAGAGTTGAAACTATAAAAAAAAATTATTTTATCTTAAAGTTATATCAATATGGATGTCTATTTATAGTGAATAAAAAATTATGAATTTTGATATATTTAAAATCGTTTTTCGATAAAAATAGCTCCTTCAAAATTAAAAAAACGAAAAAAAAAACTATGTTTTTGTATATATTAAGGTAATGATTATCATAGTTTAAGGAAATATGTTTTGATGAAAAACGCATGTATATTCCTTCCTCATTTCCGCCGGTCTATTGGAGGCTTTTGCGGCAAAAATAAATGATTGGCTGAGAATAATTCCCCATTCTCAACCTTTTTTATTTTCTCAATTGAACTTTTATATATATATATATATATATATATATATATATATATATATATATAT